CCAATTCCTGTTTAATCTCTATTTTTTCTTTGTTTTTTGTTTATCATTGTTAGTGTTACGTTGTGTGCATAGTACATTGTTGTTCCTCATTTCTCTTAACCATATCAAAACTTTTTAATGAGAGAGTGAAAGACTGCTCTAAAGAGAAGTACTTTCCTGACTATGGAGACTTTTTATAACAGACACTTGAAAACAGACACATTGAAAAGTATGCTCACATTCAAATATTATCTTGCCCCAATTTCCAATGTTATATAATAATTAAACAATTCTCACTCGTGTTCCTGTGTGTATTTGCATCAAAGTGGAACTGACTTTTGCTCTTCAATTTGCAGTAAATAGAAGCAAGGTACTGCCAAGTGCTGGACGTGCACTTAAAGGAAATGCAATTATCATTCATGTCACATCATCAGTACAAGTAAAGGTTCACTTGCAGACCATTTATCAAAAACTGACATTACGCCTTGATCTAAAACTGACATTACGCCTAAGATTTCATGTCAATTTGCCTCTGAAATAAATTATTCACGTCTGTCTCCTTCACTGCTTTAAAGTTACCTCTACAGAAGTATTTAATATAAGTACTAAATAATTACACCTTACAGGACTATGTAAATAAAATCAGAGCTTTATCTTTTTTAGTCCTCTATAATCTTGAATATTATGCCATAATTTTTGCTTTCAAGTGTCAACAGATATGAACTTTGAACTTTATTTATTTAATTTATACATACCTATCCACCACTCAAAGTGTTTTTACACTAAAAGGTACATTCATCTATTGACCTATTGACCTTAATCTATCTATTAATCTATTGACGCACACTGTGCTTTACACACACTTAATATAATGAGTACATTGACTTGCTAAAAGATACTATAAGAGTGTTGAGTGGTCTGGAGAAGCCAGGAATCAAACCATCCAATCCATCCATAGGCTGCTCTTCCTGCTGAGCTACAGCTATGCAAACATGGCCAGTATCTAAGGCCAAGCATGTCCTCGCCTTTTAATCACAAATTCCTCTGCTGAGGACTTTTCTATTAATTGTTCACATATTTGTCTATTTACTACACAAGTTTACAAAGGATTCCACAAAGATCCACAAAAGACCACTCGGACTGGAAATAGTGATACCAATCAATCGGTACCTGAACTATTTTGACTTACGTATCCCAGTCTAATTATGAGGCTATATAGTAAAGATGCAAGCGATTTTGGACTTGCTCTACAAGTATTTCTTAAGAACTTTCTGCCATTTTTAGTGTTGCCAACCATGTCATCTAACATTGAGTCCAATTTAGCTCAATGCTGCCCCTACCAGTTACTTACACATTGGCAACTTCTGAGCACAAACGATACTTTCTAGACAACGTGTGCAAATTACAATTAACAAAACTAGAGACATGATACAGTTTTGATAAACATGCGTATCAATAATTGAGTATCACAATTCAGAACGCAGTGAAATTGCACTTCTATTTATCTTTGCTATCAAAATGCACTTCACTTTTTCACATAACATACAGTTATACTTTAGAAAAATGACAAGTAACTTCACACCAAATAAATAAAGTTTATATAAATGCGTATTAATGCAAGGCATGATCTTGCCAATGTTTCCTGTCCTTTGGCATCAATGTCATGAATATGGTGAAAAAGTATGGGTGCATAAGGGTTGCTTGGAAATTGGAATTGATTCTTAACATGAAGCTAAATTATAAGATTTATTGTTTGTCTTGGATTTCAGCATCAATGACAGGCTTAGTGACAACAGAATATATTTCTAATTGTATTTCTAATCAAAACGACGTTGGTATAAAGTAACCCAAATGTGTGACTGTTTGTTGAAGAATAAGTCCAGACATATATAATTTTAGAGGAAGTATATTAAATTTTTCAAAGATTTCCAACAAGACAATCACTAAAAGGCACCAGACACCTGTGAAAAGACTAAACTGATATTTTATTATAGTAACAAAGTTAATCTAAATAATCATAAAGATACATACTCTACGTGACTACAAAGAAAAGTGAAAAAAAGCAAAAAGCATTGTAAACAGACATAGCCTATATAGAGTCAAACTTGTTAGATATAAAATTGACCTGATTTTAACTATAATTTATACTCAATAAATTTGGTTAATTAACCTTAATAACCTTTATTGCAACGTGACACTCTTCAAAAAGCAGAACCACCTGGTGGAAGTGATGAGGACTATTGTAGATCAAAATCTGTTTTTTTAAATATTTTTTTCAAAGTGAAATTTAGCTTAACTGATTAAAAATTTAACATCAGAGTCTAGAGATATTTACAATATATGTCTGCACTTTGTCATAGTAAAAGACATGCAAATAATTTGGTCTAATGTTAGCTTGAATTAGTGAACAAGTTATGTGACTCAAATGCTGTAGAATCTACAGCATTTATGTCACTAAAGTATGGAATGAATTTAGGCAGCTGTTATGCTTAACATAGAATAAGACATTTCCTTTGAAAAGAGGAAAATTATATATTTTAAAAGCAATGTAGGCTCACAAAGAATCTGTTACTCATGTCAATACAACAAAACTCTCTATAAAGCATGGAGGGTTTTTACTGCACACCCCCCTGAGACTGTACAACAGAGGATGAAGATAGACAACAGTGCCAGTGAATGCCATATTAAAAATGTCCCTCAATGGTGAACAGCTATGCAAGTGCCTCAGGCAGCAGAAATCATGGCAAGATGAGCCCTTACAAGGCACATTGCTTTGACAGATTGACAAGGTGGCTGATGCTGAGAAATGATTTCTGTTGTGAGGAAATACTAGTCTGACAGTGTGGAGACACTAATCCTGGCAGGACAAGAAATGGTGATAAGCAATAGAGGCCACCCCAGGTAGAAGGCCTCTTAGACAATGTATCCAGGTAAGATGCAGACAGGTATGTCCTACCTACATAAGAGTTGTCTTTCGAAAAACTAAGGTGTTGTGTTAACCTTAACTCATAGGCCCCCGGTGGAGACCCCAGCTTAATAGGACTAATGCTCACATGTGGGATGATAAAAATATAGACTCTTAAATTAGTCTACTTTCAATGGCAATATGTCATAATCAAGAATAATGAATTTAATATTCACTTGAAGTGAATACCAAGTTTCTCAGAAGAATCTAAGAATGCAGTGATTATTGGAATCCATCAACTCACATTTAACTGTAAACCTTGGATGCAATTTTACATAACCATTAGCACTTGTCTGTAGATGTTGGTTTGTTTGCAAGTTCCCAAAAAATTCAAATGAGCAGTTATGCATTTGACAAGCATATTGCTAATGTGAGTCTTTGGAGTATGAGCTATTTTCTTTCACTAAAATGATTTTTTTTAAACCCAACCATTGTAGAGGAAAAATTCCAATCATTGTAGATATGTCTTACACATATACAGCAGCAAATTGCGAATTGCTATGACTTTATATGACACATGTTCCCTTGAAGTGCTTTCTATTCACTCTTCACAGGACATCTTATTCTGAAGGAAGATTAGGCCTTACTGTCTAGATTCTGGGGTCAATAAATTGCTTTGCTAATTTGTGTAGAGGCAGAACAGTGTGTCTGTCCTGTGATTCACATGCAGTCTTGCTGGTTAGCTCCCACTTCATAAAATTGTATTTCTACTTTTTTAATAGATTTCTATTCCTTACTTCATCAGACTAGAATGGACATGGGTTGGATTGTTTTTAAATCAGATGATAACTTAACATGTTGTATTGCAGTTTGGCCAATGACTGTAGGAATTGTAGGAGAATTTGAGTCACTAATATGCATATTGATAATATTTTTTAAAACAGGACTATTAGAAATATCATGTCTCATATACATTAAAGACATGGTCATTCTGATTTAAAATCCTGAGAATTGTCCAAAGTGGCTCAAAAAAGATATTCTACACAACTGTAAAATCTAATATATTATCAACTAATGTGATTTCAGAAAAAGAAGGGGGCGTTTTCTCCTGAGATTCTGCCTTAAGAGGTCTTGTGTACTGATTGGTCAAGTTTATATTTAGATTTGTTGTATACATTAATAAATTAATTGACAGCTATTTAAGTTTTAATGAAGCAATTGTTAATTCCAGCAAAACAGTAATAAATCAAGGAAAATAACAGACTGAAAAAGGTCTCAACTCATTTAAGATGTATACTATGGTCAGTCCAAATGTACGGAACCCCATAGGGGACATGGGGAATTTTTTTTCTTTTGCGTTCCCTCGCAAAACCTTTTGCGTTACCTCGCAATATTTTTGCGTTACCTTGCAAAACCTTTTGCGAGATAACGCAAAAGTTTTAGGCAGCGTTCCGGAACCAGACGACAATGGAGCGTACTGTCTGCTAAATGTTAGTTATGTTAGCTTTTTATGTTTATTTTTACCTGTACAGCACTTTGGCAACTTCGGTTATTTGAAATGTGCTCTATAAATACAATTTGACTTGACTTGACTTAAAACATATACAACAGAGCATGGATGCAAAAAAAATGTATATGTGCTTAATATAACTTCATAGTCTGAGGTTTTAGAAAGCACCCAACGCAGTCAGTATGCAGAATAGCAGACAGTACACTGCTCCATTGTCGTCTGGTTCCGGAACTCTGCCTCAAACTTTTGCGAGGGAACGCAAAAATATTGCGAGGTAACGCAAAAGGTTTTGCGAGGGAACGCAAAAATATTGAGAGGTAACGCAAAATTATTGCGAGGGAACGCAAAAGAAAAAAAATTCCCCATGTGCCCTAGGGGGCTCCGTACAAATGTATGTATGACTGGGGGTAGAGAAACAGTTCCCAAAATAGATTAAACATGAATCAATGGGAATTGATATATCTAGTCGTAAATTCTGGAAATTATGGTTACAGCTGAAAATAATATCTCAATGGACTCAGCCACTTTTTTTTCACCTAAACCTAAAGATTTAATATAGCTGTCTGATCTTTTATGTATTCTGCTTTTTTATTTGTAAAGTATGTGATAAAATTAGCTCTGGCTGTTTATAGCAGTGAATAATCTAGGTTTTTAACTTTATGATCCTGTTAACCCCAGCATTACAGACTTAATCGAAACAGGTGTAATGTGTCTTTAAGTGTGGTCCCTGATCACTCCCTGCTAGTAGTTCGCTACCTGTTATTTTCTGCAACAAGATGGCTGCCGTTCCTGAGAGCAGAGTCCTCACTTTCAGCGTTTTTAAGTGGAGCTCCTACTCCTCTACATATTTGCCTGAGTAAGTACTGCGTACAATAGCTGTACCAACTTGTGCACTCGCTTCAGCATTTACAGGTAGCCCTTTGTCACCTTGGTGCACCAGTAAGTCTTCCAGACGGCCCGAGTGGCCTAGCACATCAGACCCGGCTAATGCTAGCTTTTTCAGTGTCAATAGGGATATTTGGTTCTATCACCTGAACATGCTCCCCACATTAGAAACTTTGTTGTAGTAGCGTGTCAGATATCAAATGACACGTTATTTACGTGTGTTTGCAAATCTAGTATTTTATTTGCATGGTATTTTTATTTAGGTGAGAAACACTCGAAAGTGTGGATGGGTGCTATGTCGGAACGCAAACAAAGCATAAGAAAACATGTATACGTCAAAAAGGCCAATATTTAAATGAATATAAACAAGTTCGTCGTGCTGTTCGCAAAAGCCTTTTGAGATGTTAACTGTGATACCGTCTTTAGTAACTATTGAGATATGTACACTAGTATGTGAAAAATCATCATCAACGATTATGTAGGTAACCGCAGTTATCTAACCAAATAATTGCTGTAGCAGTTATGCTAACCATCTTGTTACTGGCTACTTGAAAGTGATGTTATAAAACAAAGCATCAGAATTTGAGTTTAGATATTTTAACCAGACTTTTTAAGCCTTGTATTGTGAAGTCACAAATGGTGAAAGGTTTCGCCTGTTGCAATTTCAGCTCGTGAATAACAACATCGGTATGCTAGCAGCTAGAAATATGTTGCAGTATTTGAAGTGGAGGTAATGGTTTAAATCTAAGACATCTGTCTATTTGACTGTTATATCCCTCTTGCTTAAGTGATGGATCCAGTCACAACCTGTTTAAACTTTGCTTTATATTTTCAGGAATATCTTGGTGGATAAGCCTAATGATCAGTCTTCGAGGTGGTCTTCTGAGAGCAACTACCCTCCACAGGTATAGTTACTTTTGTCAAAATAAGCTAGTACTGGTGAAAGCAGCTGATGCTCTTTTCAGACCAAACAAGTGTATTGTTTAAGACAGGAATTTTTTTAAGATAGTGCCAGATTTGTTTTCAGTAGGGGAAACTGAACATTTTTAGAATCTTCAATAATAATTGTTATCACTGCAAGCCCACCCTGCCCTCTTCAAGTTTGTGTATTCACTCTACCTTGCTAACTGTCTGTATTGTAATGCAAATAACCTGTGATATTACCAGCCCCTGTACATGAGATTGTATAAAGGCTGAAACAAATAGTATTTAGTCTTGTCTCGCGTTTTCATGTCATTAAACATTTCAGCTTAGAAAATGACAGAGAGTATGACTTCAGTTTTGGAGTAACATTTATTTCACACAAGCAAAAGCATGAATCTTTTCATCTCATGATGCTGTCTCATGTTTTCGTCCTATATTGCCTTTTCTTGCATAAAACTGTTACAAAGTTCATTTGCAAGTCGCAGAATGAACTTTCGTCGGCTCTTTGGACCCTGTGCATGCTTTGTACAACACATGCGCGTTTGTTGTAGCCATGTCAAGCAAAAGCGTTCGGTCTCCTTTTAGCACTAGAGGTCCCAGAGAATTTCAGTTTTTCTGCAAGCCCCCCTCCCCTCATCAAGTTTGTATATTCACTCTACCTTGCCAACTGTCCCTATTGTAATGCAAATAACCTGTGATATGACCAGCCCCTGTACCTGAGATTGGATAAAGGCTGAAACAAACTGGCATCAGAACAAGAGCATGTTCCAAGCACTTTTCATTACCTGCCGCTGCAGCATAATACCTTTTTGCAAGAATATATTGATAAGTGATATCTAAATCTTTTATTTAGGCAAACTTATTGAAAAACCAGATATCATACAGGTCCTAGTTTCTGAGCTGAGAAAAGGTCATAACCATGCTCTTCCAACAAGGCAAGGCAGTGCCTATTTATATTGTCCATTCACCGACAGACTCATTTATATTGCAAAGCTCACTAAATGAAAGAAAGAACAACTTGGAGACTTATTGTATTTTGTCTTGTCAAGCGTTTTCATGTCATTCAACATTTCACCTTAGAAATTGACGGCGAGTATGACTTCAGTATTGAAATAACATTTATTTCACACAAGGAAAAGCACTAGTCTCTTCATCTCATGATGCAGTCTCATGTTTTCAGAATCAGAATCAGAATCAGAATTAGGTTTATTGCCAAGTAGGTTTTCACAGCCCAGCATTGCACCAAAACACCGAGGCAGCCATGTTCGGCATTTTCGCAGAATGAACTTTCGTCAACTCTCTCTGGACCTTGTGCATGGCTTGTCCAATGCATGCGTGTCTGTGGCAGCCATGTCAAGCAAAAGTGCTCGTTCTCCTTTTTGTACGCCAAGCTTGAAATTTCAATAACTCTGAGTCGATATATTGGGCTTATTTATAGTGGGAGCTAGATTTGACACCCACAACATTTACATTTCCCGCTCCAGCCGAATCGGTTTTGAGCTGGAAACCGGTTCCCAGCGCAAAGCTCGCGGTGCGGCAGCGACGAGACCGCGCTGAAGTGACTTGTGAGCTATGTTTGCCCTCTAGTAAAAAGTGCAGATGGTCATTGTATAAATATTCTGGTCTCCCTCTCTAAACCATTCCAGCTCATGAAGCTATTTTCATTGTACAGATCAGTTATCATCTGATCACTGCGCTGGTGGCTCCGCTGTCTGAATTTATTCTGGTGTTGGCAACACTGATGACATACACCTAGTTATATTTCATTACAAATATGATACCAGCCCCCCCGCTCTCAGGTAAAACACTTGTCAACAGTGAAGCATGAGCTAAAACCAAAACTGAAAGGGGTTGAATGGTTCTGCAATGACAGTGCAAATGGGGCATTTACATCTGAAAAGGGATTCATGAGTTGTGAAATACTGTTTCACAGTATTGACAGGAGGATGACGTAAATTCTCGTATCTTTGGGCTTTGTAGTGTTAAGGGTTAGTTCTTCACACTTTTTTTATTTTTTTATTTTTTAGGGCGATTCATACTTGTACGTCAACATCACATAGCATCATAACTCAGAAACCATTGAATTAAAAGTTAGTTGATTATATCTGAGTTCCCATTGGTAAAACCAAGCATCAGTGGTGAAATATAGACTTCTGTGCCGTTATTATGAGTATTTATTTACTTTGCTTGACACTGAGTCAAGAATGTTGAATTGGGTAGTTCCAGAATGGTGATCAGTAATCACGAGTGCAGTTTTTTTAAAAACACCACTGTGGGATGGTAACGAGGGGTTTTCATCTTCTGATTCCATAAATGCTAACGTACAGGATACAAGGAATTTTCACCAAACTAAAGACTTTGTGTAGGTCCTCCTCACTGTGCCCTTAGAGATCTGAGCAGGATCGGCAAGAGTCTGCAAGAATTTGCTGGTCGCTGGAATGTTAGCAATCAACTCTTTTGTAATTGTGAGTTGGGGGCTTTCTGGATTGCTTTGTTTTCCTAAAATGCCATCAAAGTGATAGCTTGGGTTTGGAAACCCAACTAAAAGCTAAGCTCTAACTTACTGTTATGTACTTGGATATAAGTGTACAGTTATTCTTTTATTGTACAGTGGAGAACTTCAGGTAATTTAAGGTACAAAAACAATTGATTGATTGAGCCAATAATGCACTATAGGCAGTCCTTTACACACAGTAAATTAACCCTGTTGTTTTAAAGCTTGCTTGATGTGTTTATCCCCCATTTTTCTCTTTCCCCAGTTTTTAATCTTGAAATTGGAAAGACCAGCAATCGTTCAGAGCATAACATTTGGAAAGTATGAGAAGACTCATGTCTGCAACCTTAAGAAGTTCAAAGTGTTTGGTGGTATGAGCGAAGATAACATGACAGAGCTCTTGTCCAGGTGAGATTTTTAACTTGTTTTCAAAATATATTTCTGTCAGGAAGACTATGTGCTTATGTGGAATTCTGATGCATAGCATTACATTACAGGCTTGATAGAACAGTCAATCAATTTTATGAAAACTGGATTTTTAACATTTGTCACTGACTTTTCTTACACTCTTATCTCATAAATTTGTTTATGATGAAAAACAGTTTTTTATGATCTCAGGATAATTATTGGTCGCATTTATCTTCCTCAAGTTCTACTTAACTTATGAATCGTGATAATGTAAACAAATTCCAGCTTTCGCCTTTTGTTTTTAAGTATGTATCATACATCAAAATATGGCAGACTGGTTGGATTAAATGAACCAACTATAGAGGTATATAATGCAATTGCACAAACCCAGTATGAGGTTGATGGAATTTTGTGCTGACTTCCTTTTTTTTTTTTTGGCAAAGGTAGCCCTTCACTAGGAATTAAAAAAAAAAAAAATAATTGATGTTTTCTATATATGAAAAATACATACAATATCAGAACCATATTAAAATAAATATACACACCGCATTTTTATTCTGAGATGCATATAACTTATATTACTTATGGCATTCTTCTGTACAGTTCCCTCACTGTAACATATATACCACATATACCAATATCTTGAGAGAAAGCACATATTCTTAGCCCACTGTTAGTGTAGAATCTTTCAGATTGACCAAACTTCGATGGAGTTACGATGGTATTAATGCAGTAATACTTTGGACATGTAAAATAAGGGGCCCTAGGTAAGCGGTTTATCTTAGTCAATAACATATATTGGTTCTGAAAGTTTAACGGGTTTGATGTGTTCCTTTTAGCATATCACCCAGCTATTATTGGTTGGGTGGTTGATAACATGATGTCAAAAAATCAATGTAGTCAAGCTGAAAGGTGTACATTTTAATAATTCTTTTCATGTGTATACTGTATCTATTTGAATTTACAGTGGGGAAAATGCTAGAAATGAGTGGCTTAAACCATCAATTTAATTATCTGTTCTTTCACACATCATGTTTGTAAGATGTAAAAGCTATACCGCTCCTATATCTAAATCAACAAATAGATTTTTTGAAGTTGGTTTAATGTAATAGTGTATACTTTAATTTTTATCACGTTTAAAACGGTTGAATCATCTTGATTTTCTCACTGTTCCACTTTGTAGTGGCCTTAAGAATGACTACAACAAAGAGACGTTCACGTTAAAGCACAAGATTGATGAGCAAATGTTTCCCTGCAGATTTGTCAAAATAGGTAAACCCTGATCAATTTTCTCAAGCATCTATGATTAGTTTGCAGTGCTCATGCATTTATCAATTATCTATCTTCACCTTTCCTTTTTCTTTACTTCAGTGCCTCTGATGTCTTGGGGTCCGAGTTTTAACTTCAGTATTTGGTACGTTGAGCTGCACGGTATTGAAGACCCTGATGTGGTTCAACCCTGCCTTAACTGGTACAGTAAGGTAAAAACTGGAGATTGGATTGTTGATTTTATGCCAGGATATATTCTTCAACAGTTTATCCATCAACCAGACATTTTCATATCCTTTTGAGATGTGCTCCAAAAATTGTTTTTTGCTTCTAAAATTATAACATAACAGAAGCCTCAAGTCTCATGATTTTAATTAATTCACTTTAGTTAGTGGTTGCTATTTTAATTTTATACATTCAAGATTATTTCTTTTCATCCCTAACATACAGGCCAGGGTAACACCCTATTAAATACAAGAACAGTAAAATGTATATCCAAAACCAGCGATACGCTTTGATTTCAATCATTCAACCAAGTTCATTTTAAGAGATACTATATATATATATATATATATATATATATATATATATATATATATATGGCATTTACCTAATTTACCCCAACGCTTAACTGCATTTGCATCTGCATTGTAAGTGTCTGCTAGATACCTTTAAGGATTTATAAAAGCTGGGAGATTTGAAATTCAGTCCCATTACTGATGTTTAATGTCACACTTCAAATATTTTGACTTTCTAAACAAGATTTTGTGGACTTTATGTATAAATTGCCACCCCATTGTCTAATTTCAGTACAGAGAACAGGAAGCTATTCGCCTTTGCTTAAAGCACTTCAGGCAGCATAACTACACAGAGGCCTTTGAGTCACTGCAGAAGAAGACTCGGATAGCATTGGAGCACCCAATGCTCACCCACCTCCATGACCGATTGGTGCTGCAGGGTGACTTCGATGCCTGCGAAGAGCTCATAGACAAAGCTGTGAGAGGTATCACATTCTGTATGAGAGTTTTGTCAAACATGTTGGGTTAAACATATATTCTCTTTGAACATAAAATGTGTCTGTGTTTGTTTGTTTTCACCATTTCCAATATTTTATATTTTTCTTTCTTTGGCAGATGGTTTGTTTAACCAGTACATCAGCCAGCAGGAGTACAAGCCCAGGTGGAGTCAAATAATTCCAAAATGCAACAAAAGTACAAGCAACCAAGAAATCAGCCGAGACGACGCCAACAGTGAGATAACCTATTTAAGCGGGATATTTTTCATGTCTGCCAATAAATTATTTTAGTATGCCTTGAAAACTTTTGGGACTTCACACAAGTATTGTCTTTCCCTTTTTTGTTTGCTGCCTCTGTCCCATCCCCCTTTTCTCATTGTACTTTCATCTTATGCCCATTCCTCTCCCATGTACCATTCTCCCTACTCTCCCATTTCCAGGTGATGGAGACGACAACAGGCCTGGGATGAGGGGGGGACATCAAATGGTCATTGATGTCCAAACTGGTGAGACCTACGCAGCTAGTGTTAAGACTTTACTATGACTCATATTCTCCCACACAATCTCAAAATGCGAAGCTGTCCTGCTCTTTAATCAAATTAACCCTCAACACAAATCCGCAATATTTATTTGGCAGCATTGTTTGTGATATTCTTCCCTGTGACCCATTGATGTGGTGTCTGCAGCTTGGCAGGGCGAAAGCATTGCATGTCTTTAGTCTGTGTCTGAGCACTGTGTTTTGATTAGTGTAGTCTGTAGAAGAAGGTATGGTAAGGTTTGTTTTTGTAGAAGCCTGTTTGGCTTCTAAATGTCCTCACCCTTGATTTTCACAAATATTCTTCTTTATAATCTAGAAAGAATAAAGTTTTTGTTGTTTCTGGTTAAATAGCTTTTAGTTTTTTGAGAAACAGTTTGCAGTTTCTCTGATTTAGCAAAGCTAAATGGAGAGACTGCTCTAAATGGGAGCTAAACGTTTTTTTTTTCAAAATGATAGTGTTGGATCCATTTGTCTGTTTTTATTTATTTATTTATCCAATTTTATTTACAACAAATATCTAATTCCAGGACGGTCACAAACAACTGTAAAACGGATTTTACAGTTTAGATAGGAGGAGAGTGATCTAAAGGATCTTTCTGTTGTTTGATTACTTGCTGAATCCTAAATTTGCTTCCAGAAACCGTATACCTATTTGGAGGCTGGGATGGTACACAGGATCTAGCAGACTTTTGGGCTTACAGTGTTCAAGAGAACCAATGGGCCTGTATCTCAAGAGACACTGAGAAAGAGGTGAGGAGTCACAAAACCAATAGAAAAATGAATGTAAAAAAGACTTTATCCAAAGGGAATTATGTTGTCATCTTTATTATTCACATGACAGTGTAAACTATATAACTGGTTAGTATTGAAACTTTGAATGTGTACAATATTTAAAATCTGAAGTCATATGTTTTTAACCAGGAATTGTATTTTTTCTTTTCTTTCTTTAATATGCATATTTTATCAACTGCTGCTATTTATTGGACTGCAAAAATGTGTTTGCTAATAAGCCTTTTGATGTTCTTTTAGTATCAACCTAACCATCCACATGCTAAATTTAGCTAGTAAAATCTAAGGAATCTAACCATGCATTAAGCAGCAATGTAAATTCTTGTCTACCATTCAGAATGGTCCGAGTGCTCGATCATGCCATAAGATGTGCATAGACTCTCAGCGACGTCAGATTTACACGCTGGGCCGTTACCTAGACTCCAGCGTCAGGAATAGCAAGTCCCTGAAGAGTGACTTCTACCGTTATGACATAGACGCAAACACCTGGACATTACTAAGTGAGGATACATCAGCAGACGGAGGACCAAAGTTGGTGTTTGACCACCAGGTAATTGCAGTACTTGCTCTTTAACACATAAAACCAAAAAACCTTGGGGAGTGATTTCAGAATGGCCATAACTTAAATGACAATACAGAAGCTAATTTAAATGTAAATTTCCACCAATGTAACACATTATTTTGGAAAATCATTGATGAAAGTGAGGCAGAGATACAAATTGAAGACACTGGACACAAAAAAGAAAACATTATATGGTCAAATTTGCACATTGGAAATGCAAACTCATTCTGTCCTTTACACTCTTTTAAACCTTCTTCATATCCTTTGTTTTCTGTTCTGTTTCTGGTTCCTTATACCTTCTCTTGCCTTTCCTGGTCTTCCAATTGCTTTTATAGATGTGCATGGACTCAGAAAAGCATATGATTTATACATTTGGCGGACGTATCCTGACATGTAATGGCAGCATGGAGGATAGCAGGACGTCAGAGCCACAGTTCAGTGGCCTTTATGCTTACCACTGCCAAGCAGGGACATGGAGTCTTCTGCGGGAGGACTCCTGTAATGCTGGGCCAGAGGATGTCCAGTCTCGCATTGGACATTGTATGCTCTTTCACACGGTGAGACTGGACATAGTTACTCAAATTAATATGTTCTTATTTGTACTAATTTGTTGCAAAAGTTTAATGTTCTTAGGTCTTGTTTTCACCATCAGAGAAATCGCTGCCTGTACGTGTTTGGAGGTCAGCGTTCGAAGACGTACCTCAATGATTTCTTTAGCTATGATGTAGATGGAGACCATGTAGAGATTATATCTGATGGCACCAAGAAGGACTCTGGGATGGGTAAGAACTGTTTTTGTAACATGTTTTTAGTATTTGATAACTTGTACCTCATTTATCCATTGTGATAAATTATGTTACATCTGCCTCACGATTATACTGGTCATAATTAATTTCTAATTAACCATTATAAAGAGTTGGCTGTCAGATTATGTATTTTAATTGTGTGAAAGGCTATAACTCATTTCTATTTTTGTATTGATTCCCCAAATTGTATTTTTTTCAATTAATATTCATTTTCCAAACTAACAATGAGTTTTAAAAGCTTTTTAAGTTTGATATTGTGGGTTTTCTGTCTTTAACAAAAGGGTACTAACAATTTGATGATGGAGAATAAAGAATTGCAAAACACACTCAAAGTATAGACGAATGGGTTCTGTATGAATATGGATGTGAATGGATTAATGTAGCATAATGGTGTTTATAAATTAGTCCAGAAAGAGCTTGATACATACTGTCTACCATTAATTGAAGTCAGTACAAAAGACTCTTTGCTGTTTCTAGAACGTCATATAATTTTTTAAAATAGTTATTTTCTTTTTTACTTATCTTTTTTTCATTACACTAAGTGGAGTTTTTATGCTGTTTATCCATTTTTTATTTGTCAGATCTTGTTACTATGGAAGTGTGATTTTATTTTAACGAGAAGATTCCTTTCGTAGCCTCTCGCACAGATGCTTACGGTGTTAGATGAAGTTTCATTAATGGTAGTGGTCAAAGTCATACCTGCTTCATATAGTTTATTTTATATTGGATTTATTTTATGCTTTTTCCTTTTATTGATGATCAGAACTTGTGACTGGAATAGTTTAAACAAATCATTTCCATTTCTAAGCAAGTCAGACACGCTGTTAAGGTCTGTATTTTTATTGGGGATCTGACTCTTCTCTATATATATTATGACTTTTGTGGTTGCAGTTCCCATGACAGGCTTTACCCAAAGAGCCACCATTGACCCTGAGCTCAACGAGATCCACGTCCTCTCAGGCCTCAGCAAAGACAAGGACAAACGTGAGGAGAACGTGCGAAACTCCTTTTGGATCTATGACATCACCCGCAATAACTGGTGAGACTCAAAAGTAAACATGCTTTGTCCTATTTTGAGATTTTTGTGTGATCTTAACCAAAACAACACTCATGGGAAGTTCTTTAACACACAGCAGCTTTTTGTTGCACCAAATCTCACCACAATACATAATGGAGTGCGTGCTAGCAGAGCTCAGACTCATTACACTGAAACTGTTTATACAAAAACCAGCACTGCAAAGAATCACTAGACAAAGCATTCTGTAAGCCTTCCATGCACTGCTGCTAATCCCCTAGCCCCACAGCAGGGAACTGCTTGTTCACAATTTTGGCTTGCAAGTCCTCACTGTTCCAGCGCATTGATTTCAGAAACTGTTTATCTACTATGCGTCCAGTGACACTGATTGCTGAGCGCATTTCCTTATTTGTACTTATACCTTTGCCAAATAATTATGTTGGTCCATATCCTGTTTAAATTGAAGTACAAATCTGCATATCTGTGTTTGCACAACTACATTTGTTTTTCCTTGATTGCTTTAAGGACTAACGTTAATGTACTTCCTTTCCATCTGTTTCTTTTTTCTGTTTCTGTGAATTGCCCAGGTCATGTGTATATAAGAATGATCAGGCTGTGAAAGAAAACCCAAGCAAGACTCTGCAGGAGGAGGAGCCATGTCCACGCTTTGCACACCAGCTTGTCTATGATGAAATGCACAAAGTAAGACCCATACTTGTAATATACTTTCGTATGTTGTCACGCATTTTTTGTGTCACAAACAGGCCAACAATACTTAACATATTTTTGGGACAATGGCCATAATCCATCTCTCTTTGGTTTTTATTCATGTTAAAAAATCTCAAGTTTTTAATTTACACACCAAACACAGTAGGATGTTCAACACAAAAATAGCCCTAAATCAGTTTATTTAATGTTAATATTATGCCTTACATTTTTTCAAGGTCCATTACCTGTTTGGTGGAAACCCTGGGAAGTCATGCTCACCTAAGATGCGCTTGGATGACTTCTGGTCCCTCAAACTGTGTCGGCCCTCTAAGGAGTACTTGCTCCGACACTGTAGATACCTCATTAGAAAATACAGGTCTGTGTCTTCTTTTTTTTTCAATCCACTCCCCTCACTATGTCATACCAGTGGAAAATTTGGCTGTGTGTAGCGATTTGTAGGCATGAAACGGTACTAGAAAATAAACTTTTTGTGTGTTTTGCTGTTATTTCAAAATCAGCAATTAGAGACACTTGGAGATAATATATACTCTACATGGTATTTTTAGTTATCTTATTACAATGATCTAATATGTTTTTTTTATTTTTATTTTATTTTATGTAATGGATATACACAGTGAGACTTGAAACTGGGACTGTTGTTGTGGTTAGCACAGTCACCACCCAGCAACTGGGATCCCAGTTTAATCCCTAAGGGGCCTTTCTGTGTTGAGGTTGCATTTTTATCTCTCTGCATGAGAGAGCATGGGTTGGCTCCAGGTACTTTTGCTTCCCCTTGCAGTCAAAGATGCAGGTTAGGTTAACTGAAGGCTCTAAATTGTCCATAAGAGTGAGTGTTGGTGTCTATTATTGTTCTTATTTATTTTGAGTCCAGAAGTACTTAATCAGCCCTCGTGACTAAATGCCTTTCCATGACTGGGTTTATGTGGTTTTCCATTAGAAATGAGGTCCTAATAGAAAAACGGGCCAACCAGCCCACAACGTCATTTATATACATTTATATACAAGCATGAGACAACAATAGATGACATTACATGAATGATATACAAAACCTATGGTTTGACTGCAGTGTTGATTAATGTATTGGGCATTCACATCATTGATGATCACAAAAATGATTAAATCAGATGTTGTTGCTACATTCTTAAAAACAGTGGGGTTCACTTGAGGAAGTCGCAATTGAATTTTTTTTACTTCCTGAACAATCAGTGTCAGGCAGTTTGCCGTGAGCCCAGCCTTGATGAAACTACCTAGTGGGGCCAGCCCCTAGTTGTCGTCAGAGAGGTAACGTTCCATGTCCCTAGAGTGAGCTTTTTGCAGCTAAGGATCAGACTGCCAGGGTCCCATCCTCGGCTGCTGGCCAGCTCATTACACCTGACCCCTATGGCCCCTCCTGCAGATATTAGACTTTAGACTCGGCTTTTTTCATCCCTTGGGATTACTCCTTCAGGAAATTCTTATTTCAGTACAGCCCGTCCAAAATCATACAAAAACAGACACATAGACATACAGGTCCGGGAAGACTGTGGGTCAGCCCTTCTAGAAGCCCCCTCTTTTTCTTCTGAAAAAAGATAGATTGGGAAAGGGGTTGTGGGAAGAGGGGAAAAAAAGGCCCAGTTTCACGCCCCCTACAGGGGACGTAACAATTATTAAAAAAATAAAAATAAAATGGGTCAACGGGAAGGGGGACCTATGTTGTCCTTTTGGACTAAGCCTGACCGGAGCCCATGGGCAATTGCCCAGTCACCAGGCACTTGCCACTATGCCACAACTCTTGGCCCTGCTCCAAAGGGGGGCCCTGGATGACCCACATCTGGGAGAGGAAAACTGGGCTTATAGTCCATAGAGGTTTTCTGGACTGCTCTTTGTCTAGTCCACGGGTCACCAACCTTTTTTAAACGGAGGGCTACTTCATGGGTACTGAGTCACACGAAGGGCTACCAGTTTGATACACTCTTCTGAAATAATACATTTGCTCAATATGCTTTTAACTATACTTTATTAATAATCATTAATGATACTCATCTGTGACAACAGTGACAACAAAATGGGAAACATATCAATATCCCCCACTTTATGTCTATTTATCTCAGCAACTGTTAAATTTTCAGATGATCACTTACTCTACATCACTACATTTACATTGGGGTTTTCACTTTCACTCATTTTCACTAGCCACTGACAAAACCTTTTAACAAATCATGAACTATGTTGCACCATGTTTCAAAAAGTTATCAATTATCTAATGTTTAAGAAAAGTCAACTCACATATTAAAAAGAAATCTGAAATCTCATGACCAAATCTTTAACAGATTGGCATTGCATGCTGTTCACCAGTGCATTGTAATCTGGTGTGTAACTTGACACCGCAACTATGAGTGTATATTTCAGTTATGCTTTTTAAGGCCGTAGTGAGCTTCCCGGTGGCTAGTTAGCATGCTAGCTTTTGTGGCACGAAGTGAAGTGTCTCTCCACATTGTGCCGCTTTGCCGTCGCCACCGTTGCCCCGCAAATCAGACACACGCAGGTTTCTTTTACAGTCGTAAAAAAGAACTCCTCCTCCCATTCGTTGTGAGAGTGATACGTTTTCTTTCGTTTTTCTGCCATGTTTTTGGGGTAAGAAACTGCACCCATCTCCGCTGCGCCCGCTAGCTTACTCTCCACTGACACTGGTTTTGTTTTGTCACGTGCACAATACTGACCTTTGAACTAGACAAAACTTAAACTTAATATATAATTAACATATTTTAAAGATATTGTCATTTTAGATTACATCTAAATGAATGCAAGTGTGATTAAAATAGAATAGCAACGGAACAAAATTAAATTTTAGACGCTTTTCACTATTGAGTTGTGCTATTTTTAGAACAGGCCCGCGGGCGACTCATTTGGTCCGTGCGGGCGACCCGGTGCCCGCAGGCACCGTGTTGGTGACCCCTGGTCTATTCCTTCTCTTAGAGATCTTTTTGTCATGGGTAGCCCTACCAGTGGCATAAATCCCTCAACAACATAGCTCCTAGGATCTTCAGGACATGCAAACATTAAGGTGGTGGCCCATGGAGGGATACATATTGCATATTTTAAATATTGTTTAAACAACAACCATCTCACTTTCTGTATTTATTTACCATTGTCGAATCTTGGCTTTTTCAGATTTGAGGAGAAAGCCCAGTCGGAACCACTAAGTGCACTGAAATACCTGCAAAATGACCTGTCGCTCACTGTGGACCACACAGATCCTGATGAGACCAAAGAGGTACCGAAATTTAATTTATTGCCTCTTCAAAGATTATTGTCCATCTTGAAAAAGTTGTGGATTGTAAATGATATATCGGTGCCTTTACATGAAGTCTAGAACCATTGTTTTTATTCTTCACCAACCAAACAAATGTGCAATAAGGGCTGTATTCTGCACCATTCTCTATTCATATAAAATCAGCAGCAGCTCTTTAGCTCTGTTGAATTTTAAAGTGATTCTCATGTTTGTGCTATATCTCAGTTCCAGCTCCTGCCTTCTGCACTCTTTAAGTCCAGCTCTGACTTCATCCCTCTGGGTAAGAATCTAATCACTGTTTATTTGAGTAAAATCCAGTCTGTCTGTTGGTCTAGTTTTTAATCTATTAAGCATTTTTTGGATTGCATTTTCCCCACTTGGGGAGATATTCAAACTAAACACAAGAAACTTGTACTACAAACAAATTGACCAGACTTGGTTAGAAGTTTAAATTCCACATTTAAACTTCTATGATGGATTATAGCAACAGATTTTTTTTTTTTTTTTTACTGTAATTTAAGTGTGCTCTACAACACTATCCTAATTCTCTTTATCATCACAGATTGGTTCTGAGGTAGACTATTTCACCAAGGAGCAGAGGTGTTTATTATTTAATGACTTGTTTACAATAATGTGGACATAAAGATGTTTTTCTGCCAGTTTTTTAGGTTGTTGCTACATATTACACAGAGTGGGCTTGAAGCGTCTAAATTACCTGCTGTGATGAACCTTCTGTTTAAGTATGACTCTAGATATTACCAAATGCATCTTCCTTTTTACTATCTCAAAACTTTTTTTGTTTTTGTTTGCATTAGGGGGAAAAAAAATTCAAGATCAGGGTTAATGGGAGTGAATATCTCTTAAATATCTATATTTCTTCACCAAATTATCTTGTGCTGCCTGGTGGGTCCTGTTGTTGGAAGACTGCTGTAAAAAAATGGAAACGTTTGAATCACTTAATTTGGAAATCATCCCTTTTTTTTACACCCAATTTGGGTGACTCGGGGGACTCCTATGTTGACAGAACATGGACAAGATATCAGATTTATAGCAAACATTTGCACTTTATATAGCAAGTTTATATTTGGTGAAAGTCTACAATTAATAATTTGCTTTGCAATCAGGGCAAACAAGGGGACCTCTGTGCATTTCCACCAAAAGCATCTGGAACATAAATGATTGGGGCTTTTTTTCCCCCCAACAAGCTAAAAGATTATTTTAGTTTTTAGTATTTTTCATTGAGATCTACATACACCTGTCCTTCACACATAACAGGACTATGAGCTGTTCACCAAACTCCACCATTACTTATATCTGCTGGGGAAGGGGACAGGATCTCAATGGATTCTATGAGTGAAAGACACCTGAACCAAGGACATCTTTTGATATAACCATTAGATCAAAAGATCGTGCCACCTTTACAGCTGAAGTAGAGGTCACAAATCAAAAATCTCTAAGCACAGGCCCAGCAAGGCAGACTACAACTCCCGAACCAGACAGCTGACGCAGAGATCATTAGACTCAACATATGCTCAACTACTATAATGAAAGGGGGCAAAAGAATACCCATCATAAAACTGTGCCAGAAGCACAGAGGCCCAAATTTGTCGCATTTGACGGAAAGGAGGATTGGGATTTTTTTAATTTTTTAATTTTTTTACGCGTTTTGAATGTCAAACCAGAAAGTATGTGCTGAGTGCAGTGGAGTAAGTTGACAGGTTGCATGAGTGTTTGTGGAGCTGCAGTGCAGTACTTCTTCTTGCCACCAGAGTGCACGAGAGAATATTGTGGTCTCAAATGAGTCTTCAAATCCTCTAAAAAGTTTGACTTTTTCAGCTCTTGCGTCAACTTACTTCCATATAGAAACACCATTAAACTTTTAAATGGGTCTCAAGGCATCTTCAAAATATTCAGCATTTTTGTTAAATATTATAATTTAAAAATCAGTTAAATATTTGCTTCTTAAAAGATGACAAACTATTAACAGTGCCCCACGGACTGGGTTGATGACATGAAATTATGGCTAGAAGTCACCAACATTGAAATAATTCATTACTTTGTTTTTTTCTGAAGGTGTTGATGTCAAGGCAATTACATAATTGATGGCAATTACGTAATTACAGGAACATCTAGGCGATTTTGTTTGCCCATAAACTAAATCGATAAAGTTATGCTCACCAAACAAGGCAACTTTATTCCTCTTAAAGCAGCCATTGGCAGTACCCCATTGGTCTACTGCCAATGGCCAGCAATTATACTTGGTATGGGTCATGTATAAGGAAAGTGGAGTACTGGAGATGGTTAGTTTTACCCGTATCGCCGGATTAGGGAAATCATGTAGTCATGCAGCAGCTATTTGGTGAAAGGTATACAAGTTATTTGGATATCCAAATGTTTAGATCACTGAAACCGAAACCATGGACTTACCGAAGGCTGTGATCGGGGAGACTTGCAGTTGTCATCTTGCTGGCTGTTTTGTGTGGAAGCTACGCATTTTTTAAAAATCTTTGTGTAACCAGCATGATATAGCATCACAAAAGAATTTAATAACATAGAAAATAACCGCTTGTATATGAAAGGAATTTTTGAAAATAGGAAAAATACAGTAACATGATGTGCAACTGAATATAGTTTTGGGGTTAAAACAAATATACAGAAGATATGAAAAAATAAAAAAATGACCGCAGAAATAAACCCCCTCGGAATAGAGCCCAGCTTGAGGCCTTCCAAAGTTGTTGGTGTTCAAGGCAGAATGTTTTAAACTGATTTTTCTGTTTACTTGACAGCCAACAACAGCACAAGTTGAACCCAAACTCGTGTTCGAACTGTTCTATAATCCGCTTTCACTTTTTCATTCCTTTTTTCAAGTCAGCTCATTGAGGGTTTCTGGTTTGAAAAAATCCATAAGTCTTTATCCACAGACGCAGTTCCCATGCAAAACTTCGCGTTGTCAACCACTGACCCTGTGAATGTTTCCAGGTCTTAATGTTCAAATAGGTCCCATCTATGTTTTGGAGGCAGAACTGCAATTAAGAGTGCATTTTCAGGCCATGTTGTTATTGTTTTCATTGTGGGTTTGGATCTTCACCTGAGCTGGAATGAGCCGCATGGAAAGATGGTGTGGTGATGGTTGACTGAGGTGGCGGGAAGGTAGTGGTTCTGAAGCCATGCTTGATGTTACTTTACATACATAAACTCCACCTTAAAGTATCGGATGATATCAAAGTATCCCTCTTTATCCTTCCTGGTCCTTTTTGAGCAGTGTGTTTTGGCCAAAGTTTGGTGAAAATAACCCCTAAAATAGATTCTGTTCTGCAGTATATTGTTTGTATTTATTTTGTGGAAATCTGGCAGCTACTTTTGTAAAGCTAGGTGTTGGAAGATATCAGTCTATTCCAAGATCCAAATTTGAATGCTTTTAATGGCCACTTCAAGCTTTTTTTTCAGCATTTTTCTTTAAAAACTGGTGGCAAGATTTATAAGGATGGTGATAAGGGGCATACAAGTTTTTTTTTTTTTGTTGCAGAAAGCAGTTTTGATTACACTCATAATAAAAATTGTGCAACTCTCAATTTTTTTTATAAGACTAACATTTTAAAGAGTATTTTTTTAATTGGGTGAAAAAAAAAGGTGGTTCATTCTTATTACGATTTTGATACGTTTCTCCTTACTTTTTCACTTTTTCCCCTCCTCAGGTTTCTCAGATGTAGACCAGACATATGCTCAGCGGACACAGCTCTTTGACACGCTGGTCAACTTCTTCCCGGACAGCATGACTCCACCTAAGGGCAATCTGGTAGACCTCATCACCCTCTAGCCCCTCCAACCTGAAACACTTCAGGCACTAGACTCCTTGAACACACACCTGCACACAGAGAAAGTGGGACAGAGACTAGCTATTTTTGTAATCATAAATGCAGCTGGTTGGTTTACACCTTTCTGACTTCTTCCAAGCCAACCTGCTTGTTTCCTAAGCTGCATTACTGTGATGGTAAGGGCCAAGAAACACTGAAAGCAACACTGTGCTACATGGATATGAGTAAAATTCTTTGATAGCCTAGATGCATGTTTGCAATATTCCTTTGGTTAATAGTTGCTCATGAAGATTTGTCAGAATCCCTTTTAAATCTGCCAAAATTGCTTGTTTTTCATCTTAATTTTCCTTCAAGGAAAAGTTGACGCCAAAAAAAGAGGATGTTGCCCCTTTTGCTTTCACAGTTTTCCTTTTTTCATTGCCTAGTGTTTTTTAATTGCAGATTTTTTCAGAAAAACTTCCACAAGGTCAAGGATTGTCATCCATGCACTTCCATCCACTTTTTGAGTGAGATCATTGATGTGTTCATCAATCAAGTCCTAGAAAATCCAGTTCAAGAAAATCCAAAATCACGTTTTTCAAGTTATTTGAAGACGGTTCAGTTTTTTCAGCTCCTCCATTCTGTTGGCACTGTTCTTTTTAGCATCCCAACTGCAAAAGTTTAGGATATGGCTGACTTCCTGTCTGCTGCTATTTTGATGATTTGGTTAGTTTGCTGCTCTGTAACACATGCCCCTAATAGTGATTGTGACAAAAATATAGCTCCAGAAAAAAATCTATTAATAGTGTTAGTGCTATGAGACAAAGTTTAATATATATATAAATGTTTAAAGGTATACTTATTTTGATTTTGGTTATTATTCTCATTGGACTGGCTAATACAAGATCAAATAGATTTTTTTTCCTCAGTAATTATTAGTCTGTACTGCAAAGTGGATAAATTGTGTATATATATATATATATATCTGTATATATACATATAGTAAGTATTTCAGTTTTCTGGATAGAACACCTAATGTACTGGAACATGACTTTCCCTGTCCCGCTTTATAAAACCTTTTTGGCTGAGTAGCTTATAACCAATATAACCAATGAAAAATAATTTAGATAAGTTGGTTTGAACTTGTGATGAACATTTTGCATCAGCTCTGACTACTGGTGTTTTGGCAATATGTTCCCGCAGTTTGCTAAATTGTCTTTGAAGGGTTATTTAATTATCTTTAAATTCACACAATTTTACCAAAATACATTCGGGACTTAGACAGTTGAGAATAGTAGATACAGCTTTTTAAAATGGTTGGTCTTCAAGTTATTCCTTTGTGAATAAAAAGCATGAAAATGCCTTTTATTCTTAAAGATGCAAGCTTTATTTAGACCGAATAGAAAAACCGGAATACATCATTTGATAACTTTTTCTTATTTAATCTTTTGATATTTTAAGTGATCAGTGGTCTAAAATTTCCTTTCTTTCTTAAACTACTCAACATGCCCCCCTTGCCTGAACTTAGCTGCTGTTTTTTCCTACATCGCTTGTGTACTTTGACAGAACTTTTTTTCTTTCGCCAGATATATACCAATGTATATTTCTTATTAAGTTACAGAAATAGTGGCATCTTCACTGCTAACTCTATTTAAGAAATTAAGAACATAGCCACCAGGATCGAGAATCGCGATACATATAGTGAGGTGTACCACTGTTGGAGGCACAACAAGCATAGCCCACACTACCACACGTGAAAATGTTAAGAGAAACAATTGAGCCCTCTGCTTGATTATGTTACCATGCAGCGTTAATATTAAACATAACACATTAACATTCTAAATGCTGTTTTTGTTGTTGTGGCATATACAACTGAGTTTTTTTTAAATGGTTGTAGATTACTTTAACAAAGATTTTATTCTGGAGCTTTAAGTAATGTGGAGAAAAATAATCTGATTTGCATTTGTAAAAATCAGCAATAAATAAGTACATGAGTAAATGCTTCTTTAAACAAAATGCAACCTATTTTTAGCATCGAATGTCCCTTCTCAGAAGTTCTTTGGTAACCATAAATTTTCCCCTCCACCATTCAAATTATTTTAATAAAAGAATGTTCCGAGTCCTTTTAATGTTTTTTCTTATTTACATTTCAATCTGAGTCTCATTGAAGAGGACTGTAGGGGAATACCAACTCTCTATGACGCTTACTAATGTGGAAACATGGGTTAGACTAACAACAGGTACTGGTTGTCAGTGCAAATGGCATTGAATGCATGAATTTGAATCACAATCAAATTACAGATTACGTTTTCTTTTATGAAAAACAATTTTTCATTGCAGATTTTTTTTTTTTTAATTTCAGATGTATTTATTTTTTTTAAATTGCAGATTTTTTTTAAGAGCTATAGGAAAATACTTATTTTTTCCCTGTTTATATTAACGGAATGAAGAAAGTCAAATGGGACAGATACACAAGAAACTTTCGACCCTTTCTTTTTGGATGTACAGGTTAAACATTGACGTAATTTCCACGCTCGGCTATTTAAATATAGATTTGTCAGTGGAATCATAGGTTGCTATCAATGTAGACAATGAAGACTATTTAGGAATTCTTATGGTAATACTTAATATTCTTTCACAGGCTGTTAAAGCTAAATATGATGTAGTGAACTAAGCAAAGGCTACTTGACTTTTAACTTATTTGAAGGAAAAGAATGTACCGTTTCTTCTCTTTTAAATGCCATATATTTATTACCGTTATCACTTTCTGTTGATGGCATTTTTTTCAGTGTCTGGGCTAACTTGAGTTGATGGGATTAGTTAGCTTGGCTTTTTTCAGAAAAAAACATTCTTATATTGGCATCTGTTAAAATCACTAGTTACACTAGAGTTTTAGCTGAATTGATGAAACCCCATATTATAATGATAAACCTGTCCATTATTTATTTTTATTGGTTACACGGTATTATTGATCTTGATCTCTGCAAGCTGAAGATAATTTAATATTATTTCTATTTCTACCCTCAGAAAATATTTTACAGGAATTTGTTTAGCTCTGAACTTAAGTGTGCAGAAGAAGAGAAACTAAGGTTGATATACATAGAATATGTTTCCAGTAAATTAAGCCAAGATGGCTGACTTCCCCTTCCAATTATTTCTCTTGTAATTTAATTACCATTGATAAACAACGTTCCAATAAGTGCGCTATTCTATTAAAATTGTAATTCCTTTAGTATGTTGTTGACTGTCATTTGTTGCTGTCCTTTTGCAATATCTACCCATCATCAATTAAAATGATATTTTTGTTGTGTTTTTGACTACTAGTGTATCAAACAAGTTAACCACGAGCAGAGGTCAGGACAAGTGTCCTGCTCTTTCATGCATTTGATTTCCTGAAGTAATTTCTAACGATAAGTAAAAACCGTTTAGTTTAAACTAGTATGTGGTCATTGTTTAGTGTTTTGTTGGGGAGGAGTGGCAGCATGTATCTTCAAATGGATTTCTCCCTTTTGCTCTGATGCCAACTAAATACAAATGTAATTATAAAGAAAGAAAAAAAAAAAGACTAAACAAATAGCGATTATTTATGGAAAACCACACCTGATTCATAAAGAAGCAGATATAAGATATAATTCCAAGCAACTTTGTTTAAAAAAAAAAAAAAGACACACAATGGCAAATCATTTTTTGGTATTCAATATTTTGGGGTGTATATTTTCCACATAACATAAAATTTACCGTGCGTAAACTTAATTCTTTTCATTTCAACTTTGGGTGAAATGAGTGGGTGTCAAGAGTTTCAAGGCTGGTACTTTCAGTTCAGTTGGCGCTACTCTGGATACAGTGAATGTTTAGAAAGCCTTGTAGTATTGCATTGTATTTAATGTATATAATGAATAAAGATTGTATTTTGTTCAAGACTGCTCAAATCCTTTCTCCCCACCCACTCAAGGCAATGTGAATGTGTTTATGAATAAATATGCAGAGTTTAGTGGAAAAATGCTTACTTTATTTGCAAACATCAACACATAGAAGAACATAACACCCATAGCTGCCAACAATTTACAGCTTTCCAGTGTGTCAGACCCCTGCTGCTTGCTTTCAGCAGCAAGCAAACCGTAAATACATGTAATACTGATTACATACTTTGGTGAAAATGGCTCAACTGTGAGGCTTTAAAAAACACACATAATTAATAAAGTAAAAAGTCAACCATAGGTTGGATAAGAGTGCCTAACATAGTGAATCCCCTTTTATATTGTAAGGAAAAAATATATATTAAGTTCTTTACTTGTTTTTATAGAAGAAGGTTAACTGAACAAAGATAAATGTTTTTAATAATTGACTATTGCATGGATATGTATATATATTATTGCTGATTCTGGGAGGTTATTTATTTTATGACTTTGACAAGTGGCTGAAACTAAACCGATTTCTTTATTCAGGCACCTTTCTTTTTTGTATCAGGTTGGTATATATCTTTTTTTGTTAAATGTAGCATGAGTTTTTTTCTTTTTTTTTTCTTTTCATAGTAAAGTAACTGGAGCAGGCATGTTTTTTATTTATTTATTTTTTTATATATAAGTGCGCATATCTTTACGTTTTGAATAGATCGCATTACATTTATGCTGTCACTGGATTCATTAAAAAAAAGTGTAGTTCATATTCCCAACAACTTGGTGGTTGTTTTAATAGTATTTCCATCAATGATACTGACATTTGACAGACAATGAAAAGGAGACTAAAATATGGGTTGACTATTTGATTTAGTCACAGCCAGTCTGGATAAAGAGTCAGTTGGAATCATCCATCACAGTTTGTGGGTGACGGGGTACTTTTGTAAATTTGAAACTGAAAAGTTTTTCGTAACTCTTATACAGCCATTTTTAAACTACACGACTCCAGCAGCATCTATTTCCAGAGGTGACAATTACACTATGAACCATTACGTTTCCCTTTGTGCCCAGTTTGTTGAATGAAGCATGGACATATGAAAGCTGTCAAACATACATTTACTTATTTAGCTATTAAGAAGACAGAAAGTAAAAGCTTTGTCTAAAATGTTTTTCATTTTGTAGTCATCCTTTGAATGACTGTCTATATATTTTGTTGTGGATGGAAAAAAAGCATGTTGATAAAAACAAAACTTTTTATACCCTCTTTCCAACTACATGTAACATGCTAACCCAGCTGACTGATACAATTAGTTGGTAAGTATATTTTAGAGAAGGTGTATATAACGTCATGATTTTTATAGTCTTTCAACATATTCATTATACTGGTATGGCATTGCAATTTTTTCATTTGCGATAGTACTTACACTGAAAATTACCATCTATACACTATTAGTAGAAAAAATCTGAATATACTAACTATTAAATTTACTCTCATTAAATTCATAGTAGCTTTGAAACATAATTTCCCTGACTCCTAAACTGGTCTATTTTTTCTAGAATAGAAATAAAAAGTTAATGACCAAAAGTCACAAATGTGATTAACAATAATGACTTATAAAGGACATAAATACTGGGCAGTCTGACTGTGGGGAAAACAATATAAACTTTACTTCAGGAACAGGTTGTGATGATTAACCATAAATGCTCAAACTCAATGAACAGTAAGGTAAGTATGAAATAATTAATTGTAATAATAATAATTCATTTGAATTTGTTATTAAATTACAAATATTTAAAATTGGCTTGTGCCAAAATGATCGTTTTTTTAAAAGCATACATAACATGCATATGGTTGATTTCAATCCAGTACAATCTAATTAGTGTGTATGCCTCCTTACTAGCCATAGTATTTCCAGCCAAATAGAGCAGTGAATCTTTTTTTTTTTCAATAGAAAGATAAAAGATTAAGTATCTGAACTTTATTACCTTTATCCAAATAAAACTAGAGAAAATATATACCTGTTTGCTTTACATATCCGAATATTGGGTATTTTCAATAATAATTAATTTCCTGACTTCCTTAACCCATTGGTCAAAGGAAGCATTATTACTCTACTGAACAGGGTTAGAAGGTTGTTGCCCTGGGGCAGACAATTCAAATTTCCAGGACGTTTCAAACATCCTGATGTCTTTTGTCTAAGTTAGGATTTCTATGACTTCTGAGGCAATTGATATTGCCCTTTTCCTCTAGATTAAATGATTCTGAAAAATCATCACTGTGCAAGATTACCCAGCTACTTCTTCTCTTGCATTTGGAATTAAGCACTGCTACTATGATTTACAAGTGCCTCTATCCAAGACCTTAAAACAACAGTCCTTTTCTGGACCTTTTTGAGTTCGTAGAGGTACAGGACTTACAAATTACCTTAAATTTTAAGACAGACATACATATCAAATATTTGAATGCAACTATGGCATAAGCAGACCAGTGATTGATTTAGTAGTGTATCACCAAAGAGGTCACTATATTTGACTGCACTGTTGTCTCAAACAAAAGCAGAAATACAGAAAACAAGGTGATAATTAATTTGGCATCTAGGCTGTTCTGTATACTTTATTTCATTGTGTATGAGTCTAATGAGGCTGAAGTGGCCTTAGTATGAAAAGCAAAGTATGGTATGGGGATTGTGTTTAGGTTTTTGGTGCAGATATTTCCCTCTCCTGTATCGTTCTTACAGGTGGGTGTCCTCTTCATCAGGGATGTCCTCCTTCATCAGGTTGTCAATGGGAACAATCCAGCTGTCGTTGAACTCACCGTTCAGTACCATTTTCTTTTCTTGCATCTCTGGCTGCACTTCCATCACCTCCAAGGTTGGATTGTCATGGTAACCATTCTCCACCGTGTGCAGTTCCTCTGTCAAGTGCTGCTGTGGAGACGAAGAAGGGCAAAGGCTCAGAAACAAGCATTTAAACATTTTTTCATACATTTTTTCTTTGGCAGCCAATATTATACATTTTGGTGAAGCAAAAGATTAGTGTAATTTTACATTGATTTTGATATCAATTCCCTTTGCTTCATAGACCAAAGTAGAAATAAACATTTGGCTATTAAACACAATATGTTTTGAATTTCAAGCAATATAAAATATTGTATTATATATATTGTATTATATATTATTATTATATATGTATTATATATCATATATTTAATTACTATATAAAAAATGTCATAATTTTCAAAATTCCTTGAAAATCTGACTTTTTTTATTTTTATAAATGTGGTTCAATATAAGCATTTAAAATACAAAATATATGCTACATAGGCCTCTCATTAGTTTATTTTATTATTCCGTTGAACCTCAGATCAGAATCAACCTCTGATTTTCAATGGCTAATTTCTAGTAATTTTTCTTTAGCCTCCAGTCCTACAGTGAGCGACCCAATTGTTTTTGACCCACATATAAAAAGGTTTCAAGACCCCCTTCTTACACCATTGTAATATTTCCAAAATTAGGAACATCCTGTCTCAGTGATGCAGAAAAACTAATTGATGCATTTATTACTTCAAGGCTTGTCTAATGTAATTCTTTATTATTATTAATTATTGGCTGTCCCAAAATAAATTTGGCCTCTAGCTCATCCAGAATAATGTAGGCAGTTTTGATGAAAATTACATTCTTAAGAGTTATGTTTCTTCAGTTTTAACTTTTCTTAATTGTCTCCCTGTGAATTTCAGAATGATTTAAAAAATGTTGCTCCTGACTGACCAACTTCAGGATATCCAAAATGCCTTTATAATTAGTTTCCCAACAAAGCTTTTTATTCTCAGACTGTAACTACCTATGGTGCCTAGAGTTTCTCAAATAAAATAGGAATCAGAGCCTTCAGTTATCAGGCCCCTGGTGCTATTTTTTATTTAGACTCTGGTCACGCATGTTGTTGTTTCTTCCAGTACAAATATACAACGCAAACTATTGCATCCATTCAGTTTTGCCCAAGGATAGTCTTTAGTTTTATAAGATTATTCCAATTTATTTTCATTGATTACATAGCACTTTACAGAAGCTTGTTTGACCCTTTAATATATGTATTTTAAATGCACTCCATAGAACGGACATATGTGTCATGTTGTGACATTTATGAAATATAGTATAATTAACATGAATTTCAATAACCATGAGATGATATGGTTCTTATGCCTATGGATTAGGGGGCAATGTTTAGGATGCCATTTTCTGTCTTCATCGGCGAGCCTGCTCTCATTTGAACAAAATAGCGAGCATTTTAACTTTTTAAATACCATTATGTCTATTCTGTTATATGAGAGGCATAAAAAATTAGAGGTTGCCTCCACAAAAAGCTTGACTATTAACCACCCAGCTAACAGAACAGAGTTGGCAAGACTGAGGTGCATGTGTCTGAGAATATCGGCAGTTAGCAACATGGTAGCCCTATGTTCAACCTTATCACTTTTCTCTCTACTTTGTACAGACTTTAAGTACAACTCGAGTCCTGATATCGCTTAACCTACTAATGACTCAAGAGTTGTTGAGCATATCAGTGATGGACAAGAAGCTAAGTACAGGAAGAAAACACCTACACCATGCCACGAATTGGCAACAACCGCTCATCTTGAATGTAAAAGAAAAACTAAACAAATGAATGTCACTTTCTATCCAGGGGGAGGGATGTTGGTGGTGACGAGCTACTGATTGTGAACTATGAATGCAACTTTGGTTGTGCACAAAACGATATTCTTCTTCAGCAATTCTTGGTCCTTACGTTTTTGCAGAACAATAATAAACACTTTTGTATTTAAATATAATGTGGAATAGGCTTTGTTACTATCTATCAAATAGAATCAAATGATCAAATTAAATTATATAAAATTTACTGGAGAAACACATAGATGAAATTTATGTCCTATGAATTTAAGTTTAATGAACAGCAGCAAATTCAAAGAAGTTCTTTACTTGAAGCAGCCTTTCGTATGATTTAGACATTCACTGCCTACCTGGTTCTCATTATATGGCTTGCGGTGATGCGAGGCACAAACAGCAAGAATGACAATCATGATTAACAGGGCTCCACAGGAGGCCAGGATGGCTATCAAGGTTTTGTTGTCTGTTGTTGTCTTCTTCAAATAGACAAAACAAGAAAATCACAACTTACAGACCCATTTGAGAAATCTCGACAATAATGTTAAAAATCAGTGAAACCCTTTACCTTGGTGATATCTTGATAGTACTTGTTAGCGTGACTGGGATCCACTGTCAGGTACAATATAGCAAATGTGTTTGAATAATTTAGTTTAATTTGACCTGAGAATTGTTACTGCCTTAATAGTTTCGGCTACTTTACCTGTGCCTTTTATTTCCACATGGATAAATTTGACTTTTCCATTGTGCAGTGTCCATGTCAGGAGGCAAGTTCCATTTGTCCAGTTTTGCATTAGTTGCTTGCACAAGGTGACTTTGTCCTCACTCTGATTCTGCAATTAAAAACAATGCAAAAGTGAATGTCTGTTTATGCATTACAAAATGAAAGGTTTCTGCTTCAGGCTTGAAGTTTATAGGTCACAACTGAGGTAAACTATTCCATTACCATCATGTGTTGATTATCTTTATGTACTAATGAAATATTTATAGTTCATAGAGTGTGAGTGTGTAAAAGAGGTGTGAGAACAAAGGAAACTAGTGAAAAGTAGGAAAAAAATCCTACCAAGACAGTTTTCCAGCCCCCCATTGGAATTGTTGAATACTTTTCTTAACATTTATCTGTAACGGACTGCCCTGCCTTTTCCTGCCAAAAACAGAGCTAAAATGCATGGAATTTCACTAGAGCCTACTACAGTAGTAAGGACAGTTTTATTTTAAAATATATTAAATGATAGCAAGCTCTTGGGTTAAAGACTCATCCAATTTGAAGTCAAAAGATGTTTAAGAAACTATTTTGAATAATTGTATGAATTAACACATCCAATTAAGAAGTGTACATTGTTCAAATCAAATATATTCTGTTAGTTCATTTATATATTTGGCTACTGGAAATTGTGTAGTTGATGATTCACCAGAATACTATACTCTACAGGCCTAATGAAACATCTATAAAGAAAGCAAGACTTTACTTGTGAGTTTATTGTTTCAGTCACCAGTTTTGCCCACAGTTTTAAGTTTTTGTTTAACCATTGTTCCTTGTAGAATCATGTTTTAAACATGATAAACACAATGCTACATAATTGACCTAATCAGTATGTATAGCATTGTATTAAACTATCATTTAATTTCTTTATATTTAGACTCTTTGCAAGTTTGTTTAGATCATTATAAGATCTCGAATAATTCAACATTTGACCTTTTTATATTAGAATATTTCACATCTCATTTAAGAGCCTTCTTCAGTTCTGACCCGGTGGTAAAGACTATCAGTTTATATGCAGAGATTATCATTCAAACGGTAAGAATGGCTGTAGTCTTATGCAACAGAGGGCTAGCCTAGGAGCATCTTGCATTGATGTGCCTTAGTTTATTACTGAATGAGTGGAACGTTTGTGGGCTTAGCATCCTTAACAGGACAGTAGCAAAGGGTGGATAACAGTCAGACCAAGAACTTTCTATTATTTTTGCTCGTGTTTGTGCTTGTGTGTTGGTGTACATTTAAATTGATATAGTCTGAATGTACTTGATAAAGATTTAAAGGCTTGGTTTGAAATCACGCAAATTCTTACCTCTTGCCCAGATTGTAAAGAATACTGTGAAAGAAAAAGATTAAACAAATAATTAATTTTCTGGTTGATCTTGCTTAATTAATGCCAAAAATGAAGACGAGAACAGTAGCCACATTCATTCCACTTTGTCATGTTATCACTTACTGAAAATATATTCAGCTGCGCCTCCGTGGGAAGTGTGGTGATAGAGGTGTTGATGTTTGACAAAGAAGTAGTTCCGCCTTTGGAATCTGCAGGCTCTGCAGTTGTTGGTCCTGCTTTGGATTGGATGGAGGTTATGGTTTCTGGTTGCACAGATGGAGTTGAAGTTAGAGATGGACTCCTCGTTTGTGTTGTTGTTGGAACTGTTGGAACAACCATTAGTCAGTAAGGACATGGTAATAATTTTGGAATTACCTTCAATTTCTAGTATAGATTCTTGAGAGCCCATCAATCTTAAACAGACTGTTGCTTCACATGCTGAAGTTTTCTTAGGAGGATACTTAATGAATTTTAACTTAATCAAGTTTAATCAATGTTGCATTAAAATAGTCCAGAGAGACTGAAAAAGAGTCAAGTAAAAAGTAGTTTTTTGCAAAATCAAAATTATGTACATGACCAATTTTTTGCTAAAAGTACTCTCCACTCAAGGGGAAAGTGCATTTTATTTATCTTTTTTTTCCAAATATTGTTGAAGATTTTCCCACTCCTACAAGAAAACCATGGAAACATCAACCCTGCTTCAAATGCTGTTCATTCTGCAGATTTTTTAGCTTTTTTTGCAGTGATCCAATTTTTCGCATGATTGTTTACACTATATACGTCCATTGCCAAAGTGTGAACGGAATACATCACGGAAGTTACCCATACAGACAGGAGGTATGCAATTACACGCCAAAAGCTGTATACAGAAGTAGATGTGGATATAACACATCAAGGTGTGTGTTTCAATAAATTAATTTTTGTGCAATCAAAACAAATAAAATGCATTAATTGTGTTATAAGTTGAAATGATTGTAAATTGTGCTGTTCGCATTTTTGTTGAAAAAATTTGGGATCTGAGTAAAAAAAGTACACAACAAAAAATTAAATGGGAGTTGAAACATAGAGTTTGAATGTAGCTGATGATTCATTTTGCATACAGGGCAACTAAAACAGTACTGAATTAGTCAAATCAAGACATATCCACAAATCTACAAAACCTTAAGTTGGAAGATATTAAATTATCTATTTTTTGTGTTCATCAATATTATTTTGCTTATTTGTGGAAACAAATTTTTCTAACACTGGTCCCATTTCACCTTGATTCATTAGACTGAAACATAAAAAATGTTTGATCTGTAGCTCTCTCACTGGATTCCATGATAATAGAAGTAAGTATGAAAACTCACATTGTGTCACAATGAAACCTGTAACAATTACAATAGCTCTTTATTTTATAAAATAGTTTCAAATCACTGGATTGTATTTTGAATAAAACCTCAATTATACTGTTCAAATTCCGTCGTGCTTTACATATGATGAAATGCAGGAGACAGAATGGACGATTGTCATTACCTGTTTTTTCATCCCGCTGGCTTGTCATTGACCTGGAGGAAGCATAATCCGTCGTTGTTCCCTCTGTTAAAGAGGTGTGTGTTGGGTCTGTGGTGACTTTAATCCCATTAACGCTGTTACTTTTTATAGTGGAAGAATTACTTTGAAAATGGTCTCCTTGTAGCGATTCTGTGGGAGTCATATTGGATACTGGGTTGTTGGCACTAACAGTTATTGTAGTTTGAGTTGTGCTTACAGGTATGCTGGTGATAGTAGTAGAAAGGACACCTTGTTTTAAAGTAGAATTAGGGCCACCAGCAGAGCTAGTAGAAATGTGTTTGTTGTTTGTGTCAGTAGTTACTTGTGATGTTATTAAGTCTTTTTTGCTTGTCATGGTTGTCACAGGTGGTGCAATACTAGACATAGTTACTGTAGTGGCTGGATTTGCTAGTTCCTTGACAGTTGTACCAACAGTTGTAGGTGCTATAGTAGTTGGTCTTCCGGTTCTATCGTCGGTACTTAACCCATTAGGAATAGTCGTCGTTACTCCGGCTGTGTTATTTGAAAATAAGGTAGCAATTGTAACATTACTGTCAGTGTTGAATGAATGGATGCCGTCAAGCAAGAAGCCTAAAAAGACAAAAAATCAAAATCAGTATACAAATAAACTTAAAAATAAAACAACCAAAGCAAGATTGCCTCCTATAGAGTTCAAATCAAAATGAGATAAAGTCAAATTCAAGAAAGACTTAACTAATTCTTTAAGGACAATTTGAAATAGTAACATTTCTTAGAAACACACAGAACAATCTACATATCTTAAAATAATAAAAGCAATTATTTTGACCACCTAAAAGCATTTTCTGGGCATTTAAACAATGTAAGTCCATCATGTAGTTCTTTCAAGATAAATTTAACTGTTAAATTTGTAAACATCATTACCCACAATGTTTAAACTTTGTATTCTTCGATAACTGTTTAAAGGTGTAACTGTAATGCAAAAGTAAATTCAAGGGAATTTGCATTTCCTGCTGGGACTGCGAAAAGTCAATGCTCTAACTTTCAATCTCTTTCTGTTTTTCTATTTATAATGAACAGGACAGGATGCTGTACACAATAAACTTGGAGACACCACACCCATGACTGCAGCCTGTTTTGAGTGAACCAACAATCCTCCCCAGACTCAATGGCAAGAAAACAATAGACTAAACCCCCTCTCCTTTAGCATTTTCTACATGTCCTCTGACACATTATGACCACATAGCTATCTTAAAAGACATTCTTAATATTTTGCATCCTGGGTGGTGTCGTGGTTCGGTGTGGTGTTTTGTGGTGGATGGATATTTTGCACCCTTTATGTCATTCTTAATATGTTTGTATCAAATATTACAATATGTGAGAAGTCAGATTTTATCTATCATCATATTCTCTGTTTACATTGCATGTGAATTTAACACCACAAGCTAAAAACCCTTATCTGGTCAATATAAGGGTTGTGGAGCCATGCCTGTCTTGTCTCTATTTCACAAAGACAAGCCATCAGCCTGCTGTCCTAAGCGGCATTTCAAAGAGCTTAGACATATACAGTAAACGTTCTTCACAGAGGAGCCAGTTTGATTAAGCAAAATATCCGAATCACTTTCACTCTATTACAGCTTTCCATTCATTCTTTTGTACCCAGATATTTTTTATGTATGATGTTTGTTCAAATTCTATCATGTCCTCTGAAATATTTGGATTTCTTAAAATGTGTATTTACATAAATTTCCCTCTCAAATTCACATATCTGTGAATCCTGTCATCATATCTTTCCAGACTAAATACTGCCTCTCTGATTTACATATGTTTTCCTACTCTTGATGGAATGTTTTGTTTGACCTCATCTGACCTGATCTGTCACTGACATATCTGTCTCCTAGCAGCTGACGGCACAAGTAGATTTAGCTCTTATCAGTGAAGTGTTTCTACCTCAATCACACACTCCTTGCCAAACAATGTCAAACACAGAAATAAACATACTGACTAAAAAGTGTTGATAGAGACAGATATACACAAACACTGATGATCACAAAGTGGTTCACTCTGCATTCACTTGCAAGTCTTTAGTATTTCTGTTTTGCGCCACAGATTTATATTCTTGGTTTAGTCTAATGGTCCTCAGGCTTTCATTTTTAGATGCCAGTGCTTTGATTAAAAATACTATGTTCTATTAAAGCAAAGCTTCTGTGCTACATACAGTACTTGTACATATAAATGAGCTTTGTATTCATCCTGACACAAATTCACATATCATATTAGCTATACAGTATTCAAGAGACTTGTGTGATAATTCACAGCTTAATCCTCTATACAAAAAAACGTGGCACATTTACAGAACGTTATTTTTATGTCATAAGGCTCACTGGGTGCATATTCAGCGATATTCACAAGCCATGATTTTTGTAGTTATGGGTTTAAGTGTGGTTTTAGTTTTTATCTACTGCCCCCCTACCTGTACTTTTGAAATAAACTGAGTTCATTTGATATTCCTTGGTTCCTAATTTCTTCCTAGCCTGTGCCTGGATTTATTTAAATCCGATGCACAACATAACAAAATCATCATATTCATCACCATAGACAAATTATAGTGATTAATGTTGTGGCATTATCGTGACTAGTATACATTTTTATTTAAAAAAAAACAATAAAAGACATGCAGAAAAAGTAAAAAATTGAGTGTGAAAGTGTTGTAATCAACACATAGTGCATAAGCATACAAATATTTAATTAAGCGTGATGAATTTTCAATACTGATACCTCCCAGCTTGAAGCTATCTGAACTTTCTGACCTGAGTCTGACCCCACATCTGCTTGCAGATTTAATTCCTGCCTTCTGACTACTTGTTAAGGCAGTTTTGCTCTTTTCTACTGAGCAAGGGTCAAACAGCAGAGGGTGTGAAAACCAATTTGCACTTTCCATGGCTCTTCTTCTTTCCTCTCTCCTCGCTTCAGTGACAGTCGATTGGACTTTGTTTTGACTTCTTCGACCAGCAGCAAAATCTTTGGGTTACATTAATACCAGCAGCAAAATCTTTGGGTTACATTAATACCTGTGCTCTATATCTCTATGGTATTATCCTTTTTTACCAAAACACTTTATTTCCTGAGAAAGGCAAACCATTCATAAGAATTGGCTTTTGATTTTCTTATTCCATACATGGATTTTTGTTGTTGTTGTGGTTTTGTTAATCGTTCACCCCTAAAAACACCAATGAGCACAATTGGGGTTTAGTGGTTTGCCTTCTTTGACATATGAAAGTGTGGGTAGTCAAGATGCTGTTGAATCCTCCTCATCATTTGTAAAAATCTTTCATTCTTGGCTATCAGAGATATGTTCATTTAATATAGGCAGATGATTGCCATAGCCACCAGGGATGACCCAATACCATTTTTCTTTGGCAAAAACATTTTTTAACAATGGATAATTAGTGAGAGTGGGGTGCACTTTGTGACACTTTAAATGTTGCTAATGATCCCCTACAGAACAAATCAGCAGAGCTGCTTCCCTTGAGCCAATATACTCACATATTTGTTTAACTGTAAGAGGACTAATCTACTCTCAAAGTAAAAGGCTCCAGCCCTGCTGTGACCCCATTAGGAGTAAATGGTATGGAAAATAATAGGATCAAAGACTTCAACACTTTTGAAGGTGGAGGTGGTGGCTTAAAAAGATAATCCTTTAGCATTTCAGTTCAATACAGTTTAGGGTAAATTTGGTATTGACCAGAAAACTGATTAATTTTTTAAAACAACAGAAAAGTATGCATATGTATAAAGTTTCTGTGTACCAACATGGTGTTATCAATGATATGAAAAAAGTAAAGTGAAAACATTGAAACGAACAACAATATCAAGCCACACGATCTTCAAAACAATGATCTGAACACTAATGATCAACAGAACACATTACTTTAACTCTGTTTTAACTATAAGAATTTCAGTTTGAAACTTTCTAACCCTGAATGCTTCAGCAGCATCTATTTATCAATCTAATGATATGACAATTAAACCATTCTTGTCTTAACAAAGTTATTTTTTCAAGCTGTCATTAGGCTCAACTGATTTATTCAGTATTACCCTGTTATCATAGAGCAAGTTTAACGTCATTATTTTCATATGGTTTGATAATTAATTCTGAGAATACAGCACATTTTTACAAAGTTGCAATAATAAGTAAAGTTTAAAGTTTAGAATGACTGTTAAATTGGTGTGAAAAAACAAAAATCATCATTGAATATGGAACTTTATTGTATCAGTTGTTCCTTTTTGCATTTCTTTACAAACTATTTAGGATATAACTTCAAACTACAAAGGGGACTTAAGAACATGTATACTCTATCTATCAGTGTCTGTATTAGCTATCCAACCATTCATTCTTCCTCAGGTCCCCCATTTATATGTTTCTGAGCGTGAATTGTGTGCGCCAAACTGATGACAGAAAAAGAGGAAAATATAATTGCATTTCAAAATGCACTTCAACTCTCTGTGGGACTGTGAAGGACTGCTTGGGTATGAGGTCAGGAGAGAAGGTGTCTTTTTTTCATAATGTGAGCCTCAGTGAAGGGAGGTGAGGTGCTGTGAATGTAAAAGCAATAAGCCAGAATAAAAGTGAGGCAAGTGAAAGAGTGGCAAAGAGAGGATTGTGGGGAGTCATTTGTTGGGGAGTGAAGAGGAGTTTGAGATGCTGTAAAATTAAGGTCCACATGGAAACGTCTGAACTCACACGCAAGTGATTATCTATAAACAACACACTCCCTATCCTTGGAATCCAGACTGGTATGTATGTTTATACAAGCTTTAAATCAGTTAAAAGTTCAGTGTCAAAGCGGTGTCAATCCCCATCATACGTCCAACGCCAAACACCTCCTCACACACTCATAGGACTTTTCAGCCTCAAAAGATTAGTCAAGCAAACATTCCTTTTTCTTAATGGCACACTTCAGCAGTTCAACAACATACATCTATATTATAAAGCAGAACCTGCTTTCAGTTAGAAAAGATTTACAAAAGTTTTAGACAAACTACCTGAGCTCACTATTCAACTGGATTGTGCATTTAGCTACTTAGTGTCTGTTCGTCGCAATCATGGGATAGGCCTCGAGTCAGTGTATGGTCAGGTAGGTTTCAAAATGTCATGAGAAAAAAGGGGGGGAAATCGCCCGTCAAAGAATGGCCTGGAAAATAATGAATTTCTGATTTTGGTAAATCACTGATTACTCAAGCATTATAGTAAGAAAACTCAGACCATTTTATAAACAACCACTTCTCTTCACAAAATAAACACATCGTTTCCACATTGCTTTTGAATAAAACACAAACATGACATGATGATAAACAATATACGAGATACCAGATAATATATACATTTAGTAATAATTTCATAGGATGTGTATTTACATATATAATTTATGTGAATATATATCTTATTGAGAAAAAAAAAAGAAACCACAAAAGAAAAATATCATTTTCAACATAAATCTCATTAAATAATGATAGGAAATAATGCAGTATTAAGCTTTTATATTCTGTAATCAAGCATGACCAGCTGTCCCCTAAAAGGCACAAATGATGAAAATTGAAATCAGTTGCATGATTAAAAAAAGAAAGTCCTGAAAAATCCAGATAAGGATATATATTGTATACAGTTTCATTTGGAGGTGAACCAACTCTCTGACAATAATGTGACATGAGTTACAGAGTATCTCCACAAGACTAGAAAAAGTTTACAAAGTTCATTTGTAGAAACTATTACTGCGACAAAGAAGTAACGACCATGTAATAGATTTTTACGTTAAAGCGGTCATATCGAGCCATATTTTTGTGCTCGTAAAGCACATGCACACAGACGTACAGAGAAACACCCTTATATCATTAATGGACCAATGGTGTTGTGTTTTTTCTCCCTGAAAGCTGAGAATTGAGGGGGCAGAATAAATAACTGCTGAGATAGAGGGAAAAGATGAAAACAGGCAAATAACGTGGGGGGTGAGTGTGGGTTCATGACAGTACCAGCCACGGGATTGATTAATAGACACCTGGGTGTGGATCATGGCATGCTGTGTAAAAGGAGGGAGTGCAGGGTTACAACAGAGGTGAAGGGAATTGATTTGCACTTTTTTTCTTTTTTGTCTTTACAAATCAAAATGGCTTTGAAGTCCGATTAATTGAAAGAGTATGTATTTATACATGTTTAGTTCCGTTAAAGTATTGCACCATGGAAAACTTTTTGCAAAATTCTGACATTTGTGGTCAATTTGAAAACTAAAAGTAATTTTCAGATAACCAAAACTTACTTGAGACATCCATATATTTCAAAACATGAATCTTTTTGTTTATGTATTTATTTTTTATCATATTGCATGTTATAACAGCACTTGCATCCAAACTTTATCAGTCACCACTATAACACAAGCAAATCCCATGAGGAGACTGACATTAAGAAGAATAAACCTTTTTTTTTCAGTCATCAACTGTTCAAAAATTGCTGTTAAATAGTCCTAAATTGACCTGTGTCCAGATTTTTGTACACAAAAATGGGGAACTAATTTTTAAAAAATTAGAGATCACATTTGATAAATAAGACGGTACGTATATTTCTTTCAAATATATTTACAGCTGATGAGTTTCAGATTTGTCCATTGCACTGTGGGAGAGAAGCCTATGTACCAGCCACAGGATTGATTAATAGACACCAGGGTGTGGATCATGGAATGCTGAGTAGAGAAGGGAGTACAGGGTCAGAGCAGAGGTGAAAGGACTTGATTTGAAGCCCTGGACAATGATGAAAGACTAAGACTAAGTACCTAAATGTATCAACCTGTTAAAGAATTTAAACCTTTCTTTTACATTAATGAACAGCTGATACGTTTTAGATTTGTCCATTGCATTGTGGAAGAGAACCATATGTCAATTAGATGAAGTTCTCTATTGGGTGAACTGAATGTTAACTAATTTTCTGCACATCCTGAAAATTGTACAGAACTTGGTAAATGTTCAGCTAAAGACTATATCACCAGTACTCATTTTGCTTTTCTTAAATTTTGTCATTTTTGAGTCTTAATAATTTTATTCTAATTTCCAAATTATATCAATGATTCTCTAGTCAAAAGTAAACACCATTCTGAGACTAAAATAAAATTGTGGAACAGGGTGCTCAAGGCCATCTCCTGCCACCACACCCTTCATGAGGGCCAGGATGTTGATAAAGTTTTTTTCCTCTCTATTGTTTCTCCTTTCTCTCCCATGTACTGGCCAATAAAGGTTCTATATGAGTGGGCTGAACAGGGTCTCCCACAGTTTCTAATATCCTGACAGGTTGAAAACCCCAGCTGCCTGTTATCTTGTAGGAAACTGAAAAGTTGTGATCCAGCAGCCGAAAAAGAGGAAAACCTGGAGGTCAAATTTATGTAATGACAAAATTCTTCCTAAACTCTGGGCTACATAAAAATGTCATAAAGGAACAAAAATGCTTTTTGCCATTAATAGCACCAAGCTGTTTGTCTCAGTGATCTGACTCAGCTTTGTGTAAAAACTGAAAATGTAATTTATTTTAATTTTCTTCCCTGAGATTGTTACCATGAACAAACTTTGATTTAAAAAAAATTCAATCTCCATATTGAAATGATAACTATCTATGTGAATCACAAATTCAAACAGACCTTGGGTAGCCTCAGGAGAAAAAATACATTTAAATTAGCTTTCCGAAAGACAGTTTATTGCATTTTGTTGGACTGAGACAGACACTCATTGATCTTGACTCTTTATTCCGTGTTCATTTTATCAAGATCTCTCTATGTTTTGGTTGATTTAGTTTTTGTCTCTTTTTTTATGGTGTCATCAAGACCATTATTTATTGTCCTGCATTGTAACTGATGTGCAACACTTTGGTCAACCATATGTTGTTTTTAAAGTATAAAAGTAAAGATAGTATGGTATGGGATTGTCTGACCTTCAAAAATGGCAATTACACTTATTTCATCATTATTTAAACAGGGACTTCGGCCATCTTCTTTCCAAAAGTTGAGATTCCCTGTTCTGTCAATTAATCAATTTTCTACATCTGCTTAATCCTCAGCGTGGCAGGGGTCCTGGAGCCCATCCTTGTCACCACAGGGCCAGAGGTCTCACTCTGGAGAGGTTGTCACTCAATCTCTGGGTGACACCACATACCATGCAGTTTCTTTGTTCTATGTATTTAGATTTCACTAATAGAAAATGAACAAGCTGACCTACAGCTAATATTTTGACATTCCATGATTTTTTTTCTCTTGTAAAAGACACTCTATCCTGTTAAAGTAGTTCCTAAAAAATAAAAAAGTTTTTTCAGTTTATCTTTAACTTTCAAATTTACCCAGGAGCTCCATGGAAGTTTAACAATGAAATGGTAAATAGCCTTAACATACGTAGTACAGTACAGGTTTTGAGTCTCTGAAAAACAATCAGATTTTCTTATGTGGTCATTTATTGTAAGTATAAATTAATAGCTTTGAATTGGTACAATTGATGCTTTTTCTTAGATTTAATTGGAATCTGTTGTGGTTGTCGCCTGAACATGTGATAACAGTGTTAAACAAACAGCCACAGATGTGCATTCACATGCAAAAAACATGAGAGGCTTGTATTTGTAGAAGAAAGTGCTGACTACCCTTAGCGGGAATTGTGGGGCTGTTTCACTTCTGTTTTTTCACATGCTCAAAATATACAAGTCCCCAGTTGAAATTTTCTTTCTGCAGTAGGGAAAGAACAGCAGGTGCATAATTAAAGAAAAACACTTTCTTTGCTTTCAGCTAGGGAAGAGGGTCATGGAGGGCACATCATTATTCAGTTTGCTCGTGTCTATGGGCAAAGCTTTTGGCTGGCTATGTGCAAGTATGTCATTGTGTATTTGATGGGAAGGAGGGCAGTCCGAAGTCCTAAGCAGTGGGATGAATTTAGTAGTTTGAGATACCAAGAGTAAAAAATTGTCTTTGTAAGATTGACATGGTCGACGTGCTTATGTGAAAATACAATTTGACTTTAACCACTTGCTATGAATATAAGTCAATATGGGAGTTATATGAATAAAGATTTTCATCAGAATTTAAATTACTTAAAGCATGGCCTGTCTTCACATTATCACTGATTTTCATTTATTTGAAACAAGATGAAAGCTTCAAACCTATAAAGAAACTGTCCTAGTTGACAGATATGGAGAAGAACATGAGGAACTTACTATGATTGATAAGAATTATCTCTCCTAAATCTGAGGGATCTATTCTTATTCTGTCACAAAATAGTAATTGGGAGGCATCAAGATGGAGAATTTAAGTTGAGGATCTTTTACATTATTACATTGATACTATATCTAATGTTGTTTTTGTTCAATTTCACCACAGGAAATTTGGATTTTCATCAAACTGAGCAAGTTTTATCTAAAGGAAAAGTTAGCTTCCTGACAAAAAGAAAGAGAGAAGTTTCCTTCGGATGTGAGCTCACCTGTTACTACTCTGGCACAATGTACCTCAATAAAACAAAACTGATGCACACAATACCATTGAACAGTTACTATAATGCATTTTAGTTTTTGGAGAAATGATAGAACATTGCATTCTAATGTCAGCTAGCAGAAAAGTGTTGTTTCTCATGGTGCATGTGTTTAATAAAAAATAGTACTCACTTAGTGAAAACAGCAGCCCTGTGATCCTCTGAGTTGCTCTCATCCTGTCTCTGCTTGTTTCTTCTTTAATATGGATTTATCCTTCATGCAGTGTAGCTTTACGCTCCCTTACTTTGTATATGGTGGTGTTTTACTAATTTCACACTTTCTCCTTGAGTTTCTATCTAATAGTAGAGGATTCCACCAATGTATTGTATTTTTTCCCTTTTCTTTAGAATGAAAGCAAAGAATGCTTTTGTTGGTCTCAGTGCGTTCTTTCTCTCTCTTTCTGTCTGTGTAGAGTTGAGGATTTGGGTGAAGAGTGTTTCTGTGGTCTCCTTGGCTGCACCGTTGTTCCCCAGTTTCTCTCCCACAGTGCCTCCGTGTTGTATTGTGTTCAATCAGTCCCCTCTTTCCTGCAAAGTGTTCAGCTGTTTGTAGAGCAGCCGCACTGCCCTGCCTTCCTTATCATGAGAAAGCAGGGGCAGACTTAGACCAATCCAATCCCATTGCTCCAAACTCACTGCTGTGGGGACAGTTTGAATAACAAAGGAAGCCATTAGACAATGCATTCTTCTGGTTTTGGTTCATTTCTAAAATGGTCCATGACTCAAGGGCGCCTGGTGAAGTCGCATAAGGACTGATGTTTGATGTCAGGACAGCTTGCTTTAAATGAAATATAAATGTATACTATTAGGTTAATTCCTTACTCCATTTCTATCTCCATTTCAGCAGTTTGGAAGAAACAGAGGTTGTATCCCGCCTCTCGCCCGTTGACCACTGGGATAGGCTCCAGTTCTCCCTGTGACCCCATTAGGGAAAAAATGGTAATGATAATGGATGGATAGCTGATACTAAGCTATATCTGTTTCTGTAAAGCCAGGTTAGTTATCTGTCTTTCTCCTTATTATCGCATTTTAAGGTATTGCAGAAACACTAACACACACTAACACGACTACTGATATTCACAGATCAGTTCCCAACTGATCTGAAATCCTGCTGGTTAAACTTTTTTTTAATTCTTCATTGGCTCCCTGTTAAATTCAGAATTAAATAAAAATTTTATTCCCCACACAATTAGCTCCCCATCACACCTGAAATGGTAAATGGACTGTCCTGTCATTAAAAAATGACAAATATTCAAGTAATTCTCTTTTCATCTCTGTTTTAAGTTTCTGTTTAAGTAAAAAGAAGCCACTAACCTCCCCTAGTATCAATACCACATGGAGTTCATTCAGCATTTGGGGTTATTACTCAAGATCTCATTCAACCCTCTCATGGTCAGTAATCTTAACCCCAGTACTTACCCCCTTCTCATAACCCACAAGGATAAGCTTTTTTTCTCTACTGTGTCAAAGGTATCATGGGGTATAAGTGTTTTGCGCAAGGACAGAGGATTGGCAGAGGACTACTCTTCCTCCTGAGCTACAAAATTCCAAAATGCCTTGATTCCATGTTTTCCAAACAGAGCACTTCACTCAGACTACAGGTTTACTTGTGGTTCAGAGAATATTGATTTAAGTTAAATGTAATAGTAAGTATTATAGGTGGCCAAGTCTTCGGAAATCACGACATTCCACAAAACCAGCTGTCTCTATCTATAAAAGATAAAAAGGTTTATCATTTTCCAGTATGATTAAACTTAAAGTTAGGGATGGCTCAGGTGAAACTGAAACGTGTATATGTATGTATGTTGTCACCTTTCAGCTTTTTCTTTGTTTTTCTCAAATGATTTGGGTGGCGTTTTTATGCTGCTGCCCTTCCTGGTGTAACCATGCGTTTATCTAGGCTTGGGAATGGCACAAAAGGGACAAAAACACCATGCCCCTTATAAGACTGCATTTCTGACAACTGGGCGTTCAATGTCTTGACCAAAGACACTGTAATGAAGTGCACTTCGTTCCCCGGGTTGTGTAAATACGGTAACATGCACTTTAACTGGTAATATGCACTTTAATAATGGCCCATGCACTTTGGTACAACATTCACACTTCATAGGATTTGCGCAAGACAGCTTACAAATTGCATTTTTCACCCACTTGGTATAGATTTAGTTATCATTTATTGACTGCGTTCTATATCAATTGTCCCTCCTTAAAAATGTTAACAGTGCTAGTAGGGGCTGTGATGGCCACATGGTTCAACCTGAAAGAGATGGATATGGAAATGGCCATCTGTGTGGTAATTGAAATGTAAAGATGAAGTAATGTGACTATCTAATGAATATGTTGTGCAATAAGTGTCAGTGCAGTAAGAATCATAAAGTGTGTGAAGTGTTACACACCAGTATTTTCGTCTTCAAGGAAAATGGGAAAAGGCTTTCCCAGGAAACATGCAGCGTTTTATGGTTCTGGGGATGCCCAAGTGGTAGTGAGTCCAGGTTATTGGCAGAGGGTACTGTAAATCTTATAATTGTAATGTACAGAGATTGTGGATGAATTGGAATGTGTTAACGTTGATCAGGGGAATGTTTAAAACAGGTATCCCTGGCCTGAAGGTCTGTCCTTGTCAAAAGGGACTTATAAAGGCTCCGTTTTGACAAGGGAGCCTGAAAATATGTTGCTTCTTGTTTATTTCATGGAAAATTAAATCAGAATTTTGATTTAATCTGTCCTACATTGTGAATTTTGGTTTAGTTTTTTCAAAAAATGTTGTGACATGGTTTAATCAGTTCTGTTTTTATGTTTTGTGCTGCATCTTCCATCCAGACCAGATTATGTTTTTCCTGTGGTCCGGCAACGGTATCCCTTTTTAATTGAAAGCTGGTCTTGCCTTCAAACATGGCTTGTATTTCTTTTTGTCTCTTTACATTTTGACTTTTGTATGACAGGAATTCAAAGTAATTAATATTCATTGGCAGCTTTGCATCATTCAAAATATGAGTTTCGTTAACACTAGAAATAGACATAGATCCAGCGTGTGTGGCATTTCACTTGGGATAAAAATCAAGTAGATCTGCCACACTGCAGGACCCAAAACGTGGACTCTGTTGATTGCTGGCATGACATATATTCAGAAATTACAGAAGAAATTATAGTAAGAGCACTTTTACCTTGCCTCCATTCAATCCATTCCAAGAGTGGCAAGAATGTATGAATCCAATCCACATCTTTCAGTTAATGCCTTAGAATTCTGTCATGTGCATGTACATTTCTTAACATATCATTTGTAGTGATCAGATTGCTGATGTGATTCTACGTACACAATTTAAGCTCCCCTTTATGTTCATGGGAAGTCTTAGGGAAAATTGTCAAAGATAACATCAAGGGTGTGGAAGCTTCCATGGGTGTTTCCTACTCTGGACCTGATATGAGTCATTATTAAAAAGCTTTGGAGACTGAACTTCAAAGGTGTGATCATGAAGTCTTTAGTCATGGCTGAATGGCAGAACCATAAAGGTTGTGCTCAGTCATCTCTGGATTGTAATTTGCATTTTCAGTTTTATGCATTTCCAGAAAAACACAGGGTTTTTATTTATTAGCATTTCAGTGAACTGCGGGCAATGAGAAAATGACAAATGAAGGGAGGGGGAAGAGAAGGATGTGTTAAAGAGCTTCCTGATTGTGATTTATTCTCACTTGTCACTTTTCAGCTCTTCTCAGCACTGTCAGCAAGGATCGATAAGAAGGTGGAGAAAGGAAGAATGTGCTTCTTCTACTTTGATGTTAACTTTAAGACCCCTGAAGGCAACTATCTATCTATCTATCTATCTATCTATCTATCTATCTATCTATCTA